TCCTCGAAGGGGGTAGCTTCCCAAGCAGGCTTTGCATTAAGGGCTGCATCGATGGAGGCATTGACTTGCTCTGGTGTGGCAGAGGCGTAGTTTGCGACAATCTCGCTGTGCTTTGAGGGGTTTGGTTGGGAGCGGGATTCTTTCGTAGTAATCTATAAAGTATCATTAGTTCAATATCCCTAATTAGTTTTAGTTGCTTTTAGCACATACCTCTGAGCCATTAATAGTGATAGGAATTGTGAAAGGGAACTGTCCCTTGAGTTTCCTAATAGTCTTGGTCAACTCGGCTCTTTCTGGAGAACCTTTGGCGTAGGTGAGCTAGTTTTCGTTAATTCAAGTTCAATTATCTACCTGTAAACTTTGGTAGTACTCACCATCTTCTCATTTTCGAACTTAGGTGGATTCAACATAGTCAAGTATCGCCTTGAAGATCCATTTAGAACGCGAGGCTTGAGGCAATTGAGCCTTGCTCCTCGAGTAATAGTAACAGGACGCATATTGTGGAAAAAAGGCAGAATTACACAGATTTCAGTCGATGTTCAAGCCAGAACAGTCTGCCAACACCCCGGCAGATAAGCTGTTAAATAAGATATTCATCCATGAGCTAGGTATACTAGCCATCGGGAGGCCCCTCCGAGCGGGGTGTTGGTGTGTACTACACTGATACCGGGGGGAGCCTTGCAACGAAGCTCCAACATCGGAGCAGCCATCCGATGTTCGATATTCGATATTCGATATGCGATAAGAGAGACGGAGACCACCCTAACACACATATCTTTGGGGTATAGAAGTATCGGCATTCTCTGCGAGCGCCACAATGCCCTAGAGACGTGGTTCTCTCTTTTAGCCGAGCTCCTAGGACGAGGTTCAAATTGGGAACTCGTGCTGCTATTGAAATGTGCAAGCTCAAGAGAGATATCTCATGCGGAGTGTACTCCCATAAAGGTCCATGGTGCTTGAGGAATCTTGATCTCCGATAACGTCAACGCCCCAAAATATATTAACAAACAGTAATTGCTAACGCAGATTCTGCCCATTCGAATATTTGAATGAGACAATCATATAATCAATAGTAACGAGCAAAGTTCCAACACAAATTCAACCGTCATAATGTACACACATGTATGTAGCCCTGAGGTGTTATAGTTGTAGCTGTTACAAGCCGCTTGGCCTGACTAACCCAGTTGGGTGCGGTACCAGTTACATTGGAGCCTGTTATCTCTCTCACCTCCTTGAACCTGAATTGTCACTGAATTTACTATTGCGTCTCATCTTTTTGAGAATTGAAGTGTCTCCAGGGCTGTTTTTTTGAGGTGGAGAGTGGTGCCCGTATATTCGTGCGACCAGCCCCCCCCCCTCGGGAGCTCCGCTTTATCGTCAAATCGTCATTGCCATCACCTCCACACCTGACCCCGACAGCTCTCCCGGCGCAAACATCACCCCGTCGGTTTCCTGATGTCCTTATTCGGCACATCTCCGGAGGATCCCTCTGCGGGTGATCCTGCCAGATTCAAGTCCTCACTGTTTGCTGACGAACCGGCTACGGGCGGCTCCTCGCTGTTCGCCGATGACGACGGCGACGACAGCTCCTCTCCTTGGAACGCCCAAAATAATACCGCGAAGAGAACTGCCCGACGCGATTTAGCTCGGACCTTGCTTCCCAATACGGACGTACCCGAGAGCTACATTGACGCATACGACCTGATCCTGAACAGCGGGGACAGGGTTGGCTCCGGCATTGGGCTGACCTCTGTGCGGGAGATTCTGTCAAGCAGCGGGCTCACTGCAACCGACCAAAGCAAAATCTTAAACCTTGTTGCTTCTGGTGATCATGAAAGCTTTAGTGGACTCGGTCGTGGCGAGTTCAATGTGCTGTTGGCGCTGGTCGGCCTAGCGCAAGAAGGCGAGGACCTGTCCTTTGATGCAGTGGACGATCGCCGCAAAAGTGGGTTGATGTTGCGCCCTTACGTATTCATTTATTTATTGTTCGGAATACTCTCTAACACGGAGTTAATGCAGAATTACCCCAGCCAAAGGCTGGCTACCTCGACCGGCTCCGGACGAACGGCGACGCGAGCTCTGAACAACCATACCAGCGACCTGCTACCCCGCCTTTCCAACCTGCTCCCTTACAAACCCCCGGCTCCGCACAATCGCAAAGGTTACGGCGAACTTCATTAGGCGGATTGGAGTCAGACCCATGGGGCAGTCCAGAATTACACCGCGGTCACAACCATGAGACAGGAGGCGCCGAACCACGTCCATTGAATGGATTCGGTAGTGTGAGGTCCACGACAAACGCCTGGTCTAGCAAGGCGATCGAAGACACCACGCAAAGCAACGTGGTTCAACGGGAGCATTTCAATGGGCAGGCGGAGGCTGCGCCGCCTAGCAGTTCTGGGTCTGGATGGGGGAACAATAACTTCAGCGGAGTGGGCCCGAGCGACGAAAGCAGCTTTGGGGGCACAGTGCCTCCAGCATTAGGTGGCTTTGGTCCTGCAGGGGATGAGCCCAGCAATATTACCCCACGGCGTCGGTCCCTTGGTCTCGGCAGACCGACAAACCCACAGGTAGAGGAGACCGTTAGTGTTACGTTGCTGCCCGAGAAAGAAGGCTTGTTTTTGTTTCAACACCGAAATTATGAGGTCAAGTCTGCACGGAGAGGTAGCACGGTTATTCGGCGTTATAGCGATTTTGTCTGGCTATTGGACTGCCTCCAAAAGCGATTTCCTTTCCGGCAATTGCCTCTTCTCCCCCCCAAGCGGGTTTCAGGTATGTAAAACGCTGGTTTAGCGCACCTAATCGCTTACTCACAATTATGAAGTCAATGGCACTCACTTTTCAGCGGATTCATCCTCCTTCCTCGAGAAGCGCCGGCACGGACTAGTTCGATTCACCAATGCCCTCGTTCGCCATCCCGTTCTTGGCCAAGAGCAGCTTGTGATCATGTTTTTGACAGTTCCAACAGTAAGTTCCCACTTTGGGATTTCTGGTATCCTAGTTGAGTTAGAAAATAACCGCGAAAACAGGAACTTTCGGTGTGGCGAAAGCAGGCCACAATTTCAGTCCAAGACGAGTTTGTTGGCCGTGTTCTTCCACCGGATCTTGAAGAATCATTACCCGCCACTCTCGACGAAACGTTTGAAACAGTTCGCAGCGGTGTCAAGCGATCTGCGGAAATCTATATTAATCTTTGCACTTTGCTTGAGCGATTGGCTAAGCGTAACGATGGTCTGGCTGCTGACCACCTCCGGTTCTCACTCGCCCTGCAGTCCTTGACGGAAGTCACCAAAGATACGTACGCAGTGGATACCAATGATATTCCGTCTCTCAATGCAGGTATCACAGCTACCGCTCGGCATCTCTCTGCCAGCCAAAGTCTACTGGAGGACGAAGCCCGAGGATGGACCGAGGGCGTTCTAGAAGATCTAAAGCGGCAACGTGATTGCTTGGTCAGTGTGCGTGAGATGTTTGATCGGCGGGATCGTTATGCACGGAACAACATTGCGCAGCTGGAACGGCGCATTGAGACCAGTGAGCAGAAACTGCAGGACCTACGCGCCCGACCCTCGGGCACAGTAAAGCCCGGGGAGATCGAGAAGGTTGAGGATTCTATTTTCAAGGTGAGACGAGATATTTCAATGGCACCCATAATCATACTAATTTGGTTGTGTACCAGGACAAAGAATCCATTGTGCAACAGCATGCTCGGGGTGTCTTTATCACAGAATGCATCCGTGATGAACTCGTCCACTTCCAGCAGAGCCAGTATCACATTAGCCGCCTGCATCAGGACTGGAGTCAGGAGCGTGTGAAGTACTCCGAACTGCAGGCGGAGAACTGGCGTGGGTTGAGCGATGAAGTTGAGAGGATGCCGACGGGCTAGTAGGGCAGCATTGGGCCTCGTCGCTCAGGTCGTACATCGTACATAACAGCCCATCGGTGGACATGAAAATCTTCAAACCGTCCTTTTTGGAGGGTACGCGCGGGGTGCGCGGGGTGCGCGGGGTGCGCAGTGTGCATAGGACATCCCATTGAGGGAATCTTTGCTTTTTCTTATTTTTTTCCCCATCTCATTATTCTCCATATTTCCCCGGAAATACTTCGTATGCATGTTTTACGATGTTGGGTTCTCAACATCAAATTCCCCTGAATGTTTGCAATTCGTCTGAAAGTGTTTGTTTTGATTTTACACAATTCCCAATTCAATTGATTGTATTCTGGTTCTGATATTTTGTTTTTTATATTCTATATTCTATATTCTATGTGTATACTTCACATGGTGAAGGGGCAATGTCCCACATACCAGGATATTTCCTGAGCAGAAGTATTATCGTACCTATTTGTATTGTATCTTCCATACATGTATACTTCGTATAATCCGTATAGTCCGTACTCCGTACATAAATCATAAAAAGTGCCCCGATTCCCCACTACAAAGATCGGTCGTAAGCCTAGAGACGCCACTGACCCAATAAATCCCGATGATCCGTCTGATTGCAGCCTTGGCGCCTGACAGGGCTGGCCGATCTTAGATTACAATACCATGACCATACCAAAACCGGGACATTACAGTGCCTGCAAATGTTTGAAATGAGAGACACATGGCCGTATGCAGCACTTTATTGGATATAGCCCTGGACACTTCTCTTTCTCTTTCTTCCCTTTCTATACTTTCTATATATAACCATCATCTTTCCTCTAAACATCCTACTCTATTGGTGCACGTCCTCCTCCGCTGGCCAAGACCAATTCCGCTTCCAACGTGGGTCTTGAAAGTCTCGGCTGACGAATCCCGCCGTTTCCAAGAATACCTCGTTCTGGGCAAATCTCCCATAGCACGCGTTCACTCGCTTTCCTCTACTTGGCCAAGAGCTCCCAAGACTCTGACCGGATTTCACTCTTGTCCAACTTTTTTTTCTCTTTCTTCCTTCTTCCCCTTCCAATTCGAACCTGTGACTGACTTCCCTGGGGCCAAGCCTGAGTTCCTTTTTCTCAACCTACTGCCTAGCTTCGCCTCCGCATCCCCGTGGAATCCCCAAGATCTTGGCCACCGTCTGCGCCCCGCAGAATCTGCACTGTCGCCCACCTCCAAACCTGTCGGACGTGCGCCGCGATCGCGAAACTTCCATTCAGCCCTACAAGGCTCGGCAACTTGGCTTTTCGATCACCGATTCACCAAGGCATGAAGAGCTACGCGGACCAACGAAGTTCGAGGGCGGAAATCATCCGGTAAATCGCTAGCTGCGGTACGAAGCTCGAGACGGAATCCTACAAAAGTTCCCGGATAATACAATTGGTGTTCAATCACCGACATCTTCACCATGGCGTGGGATCATCTGGACATCGATAGGCCGCATTTGGCTTACATGATCCTGGGCGGTTTCACAGGTCTGTTCATGCTGTGCTCCTTGTTCGTCAAGGAGAAGCTGTACATCGGTGAAGCTACCGTAGCCACGCTCTGTGGTATCATTTTCGGCCCCCATGCGGCCAATCTATTCAATCCACACGAATGGGGAAATATCGATAAGATCACCCTTGAGTGCTCGCGAATTGTCCTGGTCGTGCAATGTTTCGCCGTCGGCGTTGAGTTGCCAAAGGCCTACATGGAACGGCATTGGAAGTCTGTTTCCTTGCTGCTGATCCCCGTCATGACCTGGGGTTGGCTTATCACCAGTTTGTTTATCTGGTGGCTGGTGCCTCCTCTGAACTGGCTGGAGGCTCTGGTTTGTGCTGCCTGTGTCACGGCTACCGATCCTGTCTTGGCATCGTCTGTCGTTGGTAAGGGAAAGTTCGCCAAGCGTGTCCCCAAGCATTTGCGTGACTTGCTGTCTGCGGAGTCCGGGTGTAACGATGGCATGGCGTTCCCATTCATCTATCTATCCTTCTACATCTATCACTATCGCCCTCAAGTCGGCGAGGTATGGCTGAACTGGTTCTGTATCACCGTTCTCTACGAGTGTATTTTGGGTGCTATTTTCGGCTTCACCATCGGTTACGTTGCTCGCCATGCGATCAAGTTGGCTGAGCGCAAGGGATTGATCGATCGTGAGAGTTTCCTGGTGTTCTACTTTGTGCTGGCTGTCTTCTGTGCTGGCTCAGGTTCTTTACTAGGCATGGACGACTTGCTGATTGGATTCGCTTGTGGTGTTGGGTTCAGTAACGATGGTTGGTTTACGGAGAAGACAGAGGAATCTCATGTCTCCAACGTTATTGATCTTTTGCTCAACTTGGCATACTTTGTCTATTTTGGATCCATCATTCCCTGGGAGGACTACAACTCCCCTCAGCTCGGCCTTACTCCTTGGCGGCTGGTGGTGATCGCGTTATTGGTCCTCTTCTTCCGACGTATTCCAATCATGCTAATGCTCAAACCGATAATACCAGACGTCAAAACCTGGCGAGAAGCGTTATTCGCAGGGCATTTCGGTCCTATCGGTGTCGGAGCGATTTTCGCCGCTATACTTGCTCGGGCGGAGCTGGAGCACGATAATACACAACCATTGCCTGAAGACGAGCTCCCCCTGCCAGGAACCAGCAATTACTATGTTGTCAGGCTCATTTGGCCCATCACTACATTCATGGTCATCACATCTATTCTGGTGCATGGTTCGTCTATTGCAGTTTTCACTCTGGGTAAACGCATCAACACCTTGACTATCACCCTATCCTACACACAGGCCAACGAGGATGGACCTTCATGGATGAACCGTCTCCCCCGTGTGCAGTCCATTGCCAAGGGCTCCATGTCCTTCCGTAAGACGGAGGATACGGATGCCTCATCGGACGAAAAGCTTCCTGAGTACCCTCCCGGTACCTTACCGCCCATCGGTATGCCCGGCAACTTCCTTCGTCGGCAACGTGACGAGGAGGGAGATAGTGAATCACAAAGCCTCGAATCATCTCGTCGCAAGCCCTTGCGGAGACGTCGCCGTAAGCGTGCTGCTGGTGTCGGAGGCCCTATTAGCCAGTCTGCTATTATGCCCGCTCCTCGGCGAACCGAGGAGGAGATCACAGCCGACGAAGAAAAGAAAGAACTCGAAGAGCGCGATCAGGTTGAGCGTGGAGCATCTCCACCTCATGCCGAGCGGGATCGCTTCGGCCGCGAGCCAGAGATAGAGGTTTATCAAGAGGGCCACAACATGATCATAGAGGATGAAGAGGGCAATGTTCTCGCAACTGAGGATACCTCTCATATGTCACCGGAAGAGAAGATTGCGCATATTGAAGCGCAACGCAAGCGTCTAGAAAACGATAAGTCCGGAAAATTGGCAGCATCTGAGAGTCAACCTCACACGAAGACTGAGGGAGAGGAGCTCAAGCAGTCTGTTGAGGAGAAGGCTGGTACTTCATACGGAAAGGCCCTCAAGAAGTGGACCAACTGGACCGGACTTGGAAAGGATCGGGCCGCGGAACAGCCAGAGAAGGCAGAGAAGGCCGATAAGAAAGAAAAGCCACCGAAGGCCGATTCAGCAAAGCCGAAACCTCGTTCAGCTCATGCATACCAATTCGGCAATACTATTATTGTTGAGGATGAGGATGGTGAGGTGATCAAGAAATACACCCTTCCCGGCGGCAAGAAGGGCGAAAAGGGCGAGAAGGCCCAGAAGGAGCCCACTGTCCCTGGCGAAGCACCTGTCCGACGTGGTTTGACCCGCATGGGAACCTGGTTCGGCATGGAGGAAGAAGGTGAATCTTCCCAAGCTGCTGGAGAAAAGAGGAAGGACGATGACTGGACTGCCGACGACGGCATTCGATTCACTTTGGCCCAAGACCCTCAAGTCAACGCTCAAGGCATTGGCCACAAGGGCCGACGTATGAACAAGCAGGAATTCTTCGAGCAGATGAAGGGTCTTGATGCCAAGGCCCGCCGGGATCTGGTGCAGCAAACCGACGCACCAGCACCAGTTCAAGAAAAGGCCCAACGCGATGCCAAGGAAGAAGTAAAGGCCGAGCAAAAGCAAGAGCGCCGCCTTTCTGCTGCCGCTGTCGCCGCTACTACCGGCACTAGCGCCATCCCCGAAGACACCGAAGCTCTGGATTCCGAGTCCGTCACCGATAGCGACGTTACTGACGACGAGTATGGCGACCACCACGGATCCCCTAACGTGGCTGCCTCGCTAGCGAAGTTCTCCCGTGGCGGTGGTACATCCGCCGCCCAAGAACGCCGCAACAACCTCAGCCCTGCACCACCCCGTATGCGAGACCGGCCTCGCCGCGATTCCGATGATGATGGTACAGAGCGTATCCCACCTTCGCGTCTCCGCCAAGCCGCCGGTCTGACCGCGCCCCCGCGCCAGGCTGACGACGACACAGGCGAGACCCCGGCCGAGCGTCGCCGCCGTCTGGCTGCTCTTGGTGTTGAGGGTGACGAGTCCGAGAACGACGATGGCTCAGACTCGGATGATAATGCCATCCTAGAAGAAGACTCAGACGTCGAGGAGAACGAGAACAGCCAGTCGAGCCAGACTACGAGCAAGAACCAGAACCCTGAAACACACAAGCCATCTGACAAGTCTTCTCCCTCTGGATCTGGATCTGGATCCGGCTCCGGCTCCGGCTCCCAGTCTGTCTCCCGCCACATCCCGCGTGTTTCGTGGGGAGGCGAGAAGGGACGTGAGCTTTAAGCGAGTTTGCTCCATCAAGCACCCTTGCTATCTCAAGGAGTCGATTGGACAGAAAGCTCTTGGACTTGGATTGTCTATCCCGTTCTTCGTCTGATTGCCATCGTTGGCCATACAGCGAAAACGACACATTCCTCCCAATATGAGTCAATACTGGAAATGTATCTACCCAGTCTCTATTGCTTCAACCCTTTTGCCTCAAGTATATTCATGTATCTTCTTATCGCATCCGCTGTGCATATTAATTGCTCTTGCATGTAATGACCTTGCTTGATCCCCGTGATTGACTCGTCATTTTTATTGAGTTTATATGATTCCGTTTTTTTTAGCTCGCTGCTGTTATTCTAAAGCGAAGCGAGCTTAACTATACAATGCATTCTTTTTATGGACATAAATAACCTCAATTCCTGTTGAAAATGCTTTCTCATCCAAGTGGTACTCCGTACAACCGGGGATAAACATCGTTAGAAGTAATTGTAGGTACATGAAAAGGACGGGTTTGATTTCTCTCTACCATATTTACCATTAAGAGAAAAACAACTTGATCTAATTAACAAAGATCGAGGTATCAAACGAACAAAGCAAGCTCAAGAAAAGAATAAAAACAAAAGCGTATCTAAACTAAGTGTAATCCATTCCACCCATGCCACTACTCCATAGTACTCTGCGGCCTCATAATACCCCTCCCAAAGAACTCACTAACAACACCAAACCGATCCCGCGAGCGAGACAGCTCCCCCTTGAACAAATCATGCTGGTCCGCGGAATCAATCTGGCGTTGACGGATAGCGCGCAGTGTTGCATTCGTCGGGGCGCAAACGGGACACTGCGCGTCCTCGTCGAGGCTGTTCAGACAGCGCTCGTGGAAGGAGTGTTTGCAGAGGAAGTGGACTGTGGGCAGGTCGAGGGTTCCGCCGCAGGATTGGCAGCGGCGGGATTGGAAGACTACTGGTTGGGTTGTTAAGTGGTCTAGTTCTTGTTGTTTGGTTTCGGTTTCGGATTTGTAGCTTGTGATGAGGCGGCGGTTCTGGAGAGGGAAGTAAGGTTAGTTTTGATATTCGCTGAATAGGAGGAGGATTGTCGAGAAGGCTTACGGTGGTGATTTCTTTGCGTTCGCGGTCGATGTTGTCGCTGAGGTATTTCTTCACGCGACCTATTGTTACTACTGCGTTGTTGCTAAGCGCTTGGATCACCTGCAATGGGGAGAGGAGGCCGTCTTGGTTGATGTGCTGCAGGACTGTATCTAGCTCATCGCCTGCTTCTTCGAGGATTTTCGGGCTCGAGGCGAAGTATGTTAAGGCGTCGACGTAAAGTTGGGGCTCGTCGGGCCCGTACCGGTGAAGCGCTTTAATGGCACCCTGTGTATCCTTTGCTGAAGTGAAGGAACGGAAAATGTCGAGGCGGAGACCTTCTTGCTCGCGGACGAGGGTGGATCCTTCCCTGAAATTTGACAGATCGGAGAGGAGAAGCACGTTGGATGTGGAGATCGGGATCTAGGTAGGTTAGATATTAGAGGCGAGAAATGGGCCATAGAGTAACTCACATCTTTCCCTTCAATTAGCTTCTTGGCTTTTGTCTCCCATTCCTGTCTTTCGCCTGCATCCTTCTTTCCCTTTGCTGTGTCCAGGTACATCTCAAACAGTGTTGTGAAAAGATCAACCTTGGCGTCCTGCTTCAAGTCCGGCTGCTCCACCAAAGTCTCGAGGAAATCTATGAACTCTTTTGGATGATCTACAAATGCAGAGAAGGCTGTTCGCGGCTTGGGAATGTCATAATCTGGCGGAGAATCTTCAACCTTGTCATTTGTGGCTGGCTCAGGGACTTCAGCAGGAGGTTGTGTGCCGGTGCCGACATTCATATACCGTAAAGGAAGAAGCGCAGCAAGACTTTGCACAGTGCTGGTCGTCTGTTCTTGGGGCTCCGATGGTTGTTCTACCTCAGTGCGTGGCCGGTACTGGCCAGAATAGTAAACCTTGAATAACTCCGATGTCCGCTCAGGGCAATGCGTCAGTAATACTCGGGCGTACTTCATCAAATTGTGATAGGCCTGGGATGGATTAGCTTGTTTCCACAGATGACACAGCTGAGACATACCACTTCGGGATCCAGCCGCCAAATGTATTCCACTGCCTCGGCGTACTTCTTAGAGTCTTCGATTAGGATATCAACAACCATGTCATTTTCGCCATGCTTCGTTGCAAGGTAGGCTGCTTGCTCGTAGTATCCGCCTTGACGGCACATTGCGATGGCAGTTTCAAGGTCAAACTTCAGCTCACCAGGAGCTTTGATAAACGAGTCTAGCTTGCTTGTGTCTTTAAGCTTTGCGTAGCAGTTCAAAAGAAGCGTTGTGTGATCAACCGTGGCACGGCCATGGTCGTGTAGCTCTTCGAGATACTCAATCAAGTTGTGAATACGTTGTGTGTCCAGGTACTATAGAAACAGTTAGTAAGAGAACATAGCCGAATCTCAACCCTTACTGACCTTGCGAATGACCTGAGAAGGTTCAGTATTATCAATGGCCCGGAGATACTGCTGCATAGCGGTATCATAGTCGCCCCGCTGGTACAAGAAGTCACCATACTTGCGATAGATGGCATTCTGTTGCAGCGGATCGATCCCAATCTTTTGCGCAAGATTGATAGCAAGAATATAGAGATTACGCTCATATAAGATCTCGAGCTTTTGCTGGAGGGTCTTTTCCCGATAACGGAAGATCTAAAGCGGGTTAAAAGAAAGACCAACAGAACATCATAGTATCCACATACCTTTCCATCTGTTGTAAGAAGAAACAAGTCACCCCATTCCATGAAAATACGTTTCATAGGTGACACCAGCGCTTCGCTATGCGCGATGAACTTGAGATCTGTATCGAGCAGAGTGAACGTGGTCGTGCCAAAGATATCCTCGGCCGGACTAGCAGTGTACTTCCTTAGCGGATCAGACTTGCTAGTCCCAGCCTTGGGCGGACAGACGAGAGCCACATAGTCACGAAAAGCATCAACGGACGTCTTTGGGCCCTCGAACGCATAGCTCGCACCACGACCCCGCGGACCGTACGTAAAGATCGCCTCCTCCCGAGCAATGAGAATATCCCCACCTTCTTTATCCAGAGTCATGCAGCCCAAGCCGCAGCCTGTATCTTCCAGAACGCGCGCAGGTTGGCCCTGCCCTCGCCCGGCGATGACCAATGTCAAGATGCGGCTCGTTGTTGAAATGTAGAGGGTCGTGACGGCGCCGGTTTGCGTTTCGAGGCCGGTGATCGGTTCCTCGGACTCGAATACGATCCGTTGTCGCGCGCCTCGGTCGTGGATGAGGTCGCCTCGGATGATCGTCACGGATCCGTTCGCGAAACCCACTGCTACCTGTGAGAGATCCTCGACGGCTGCGAAAGCCGATATCTATTCCATTATAAGTAAGTATTGACCTCATTTACCCTCACTTCAGGTGCAAACGCACCGGGAATTGTCTCCTGGCATTTTGTACAGAGATCGTCGACAGACACCGTGGGCCGCCATCTTTCTTCTCCGTATCCAGCGCCCAGACCTTCAAGACCGGCTCATTGGAAAGATCCTCTGCAACGGTGACGAGAAGAGCGGTATCGTTTATCTGTCGCATGTGCGTAATGGAGCCGGTATCGTGAGCCTTGAACGATCGCACGATGCGGAAGGCCGAGGAGACGATGTGGACGAAGCCATCGGTAGTGCCGACAAAGAGGTTCGCGGATCCGGTGCAAATGCTTGAGAGGTCACTCTAGATGTGACTGTTAGATAGGTCGTGGCCTGGAGCAGACGAAAGTCGAGGCCTTACATTGAAGATTGAGGAGCTGTCCTCTGGTAGCTTCACCGGCGACACGTCGATGAAGTTGAATGCTTTCCACTGTTGTTTCTGTCAGCTTCAATCCATCCGTAGGAAAGGTTGGTCGCTTACTGATGTCAGCGCCATCTCGGCTCGCCATTGATTAAGATGTGTGGAAGGTGACGATGCGGTTCGGAGCTCTCCCCGCTGGCGCTCGGGCCACTTGGTTCCTGACGTCGATCTACGGCTGCCAGGGCGATGTTCTTTTTTCCCTACTGTGTTAAATGACTGTTCGTTTATGGGGCGGTTTGTGTCTGTTTTCCTAGTCTACATATATAACTGTGCAATTACCATAACCAATATGTATTGTTGAAAGAGAATAAACGAATATATGCTAGAATTATAAGAGCCCGAAATAACTTCGCCGCCAAGCTGAAGCTTTCAACACGCTGTGGATGATGAGAAGATGGGAAGAACAAGAAGTGAAAAGCTTAGTCATAATAGCATCAAGGAACTCTCTTTATTGAGATAGATCCATGTGTAAAGGGGAAGGTTGCGCGTCAGAGGTCGGAATCGCTTTGAGACTCTGACTCGGCCGACCGCTGTCCTTCATGAAATCAAAACTTTGTTGCAGCCAACTACCAGCATCTGCAATTGCCTGGCTGAGGTTGAAACTCTCCATTCCCTGGTGGACACCTTGTCCATCCTGGGCTGTTGTTGGTACTGACCCGCTTAGGGTGAGGGGCAAAGACGCAGCCTCTGTGGCAGATTGATAAGTTGGTTGATGATCCAACTGTTGGGCTACTGGTTGTGGAATTTCTTCATCTTCACCTGATTGGGATTCCGCAGTGTGATATTCGTTGCCGGGAGATGTTGATTGACTCCTAGCAGAAGGAGAGGGGCTTCCGATGTTGGTCATCCTTTTTCTCTTGGAGTTTCTCGCTGTAGGTGAACATGAGTCTGGCCGAGATGCACGCTGTCTCTTCTCTGTGCTGAAAGTGTAGGGTGTAGCTGCATCGAGCATGAACTGTGTATTCATTGCTTGTGTCATGTTTTTGTTCGTAGGTTTCAAGCTCCGATCTTGACCAGCTTGCTCAGTGCTGAAATTGAAAGGAGTAGCTGCATCAAGCATGAATTGCGTGCTCATTGCTTGCATCCCCTCTCTGCTCATGGACTTCGAACTTCGCTCTAGATCACGTCGAATTGACTCTTCTAGACGGTAGAACGGAGTAACATTTGCTGAGTGAAGTGAAGCATTGGGTGAATGCACTGCTCGGTCCGGATTCGGTGTATGTTGATTGTAATATTCTGGACTGTCTAGGTCGTCTTGGAAAGACTTCTGGGCATGCAAAAGGGCAGCCTGGGTTGAAAGCTGGGTATCAGGGGTTGGGGGTGAGTCTTGTCCTGAATCTCCTCTTGGCAAAGCCGTCGAGTGCAATGACGTTACCCGATCGGACACTCCCAACGGTGCTGGCACTTGTTGGGCAGAAGGGAGATCATCGTAGGTGTTTTGCTCTGTTGGTCCAGAGAGATCTGTGTCTTGGAATGTCGACGTATATTCCTCGTTTGCAACTTCCTCGGCGACATCTTCCCCTGCGGCCTGATCCGCTGCAAGATTGTTCTCTATGAAATCTTCCTCATCGGCGAACCTGGTTTCTTTCGACAAAGTTTTGTGGCTTGCATCTTTCTTTATAGAGTCCTCATTTTGAACTGCTATTTCGTCAGGGGCCGGGGGTTGAGGTTCGGGTTCAGCTTCAGCATGATTCAATGCTTGATCTCTAGTAGGACTAGGGCTAGCGGGTGCGTGCTCGACTACGGACTTTTCTTTCAGAGGGCTGTCCTCCTGCAAAAACGTTTCTTCTTGCAGGATACTTTCATCTTGCATAGGGGAAGTCTTCTCATGTTGACTCGAATGTTCACGAAGCCACCTCCGATATTCAAACCTCGGAAGCTGAGAGGAAGAATTGACTATTCGGAGAGAAGCTTCCTGCGACAAATGAGATTGCTGATATTGTTGGAATGGTGATAATTTGGGAACGGTAGCGACTTTGGGTAAATTTAAGGCGGCCGATCGAGTCGACTGTGGGGATACGTGCCCGTTCGAGTTGGGACGAGAAGCCTGAGCTGTCTTCACTGGGACATGTTTGACAGGAGGACATTTTGTTGGCGAGCCCGGTGTCTGTGGAACCTGGACTTGAACAGATCGAGGCATCGGTCGACGAGCTTTATCTGACTGACGAGTAGCAATGGATATTGTTGGCGAGCTCGGCGGTTCGAACTTGGTGAAGTTCATGAGCTTCCGATCCTTCTTCAGCCAATCCGCTGTCCTAGGCGGCATTATTGATTGATCCTCCACTATCGCCGACGGCGGTTCCATTGATTTAGGGGGAGACCGTAGCGATGCTCCATTTTGTCCACCATGCCCCGGCCGCGGGGTGGGTTCCTTGGATTTTCTCCGTGGCGATTTAGAGGGCGAACAACGGCCTCCAGCTTGCACTGAGGTTCTGGGGGAGTTGCACGATGTCGCAGGAATCTCCGGGCGACGACTGCTAACCGATAGACCCTCTCGGTACTTCGGAGCCCGCAAATCAGTCTCCTGAACCACCCGCTCGGGCACATTTGTCTGGCGAGCCCTTGCCGGTGCACCAGTTCCACGCGTCCTGTTCTTCTTCCATGGATTGGCCCATCCCTCATTGAACGGGCCTCGCAGCGACGCAGAGAGAATCAACAACGGTTTGCCCTGCAGATAAGACTCCGCTAATTTCTCGACCCGCTGACGCTTTGCAGCTCGGGCAGCGTCATCTAGCTCGTCATCCGAGGCGAGGAAGTTATCTGAATCTATCTCAGAGGGCGAAGGCACGCATGTTTCGAGGGAGACTGGGGAGACGGGCCGTGGGTAGGGCATCGGGGTTGAGTTTCGAGCTGAGCGGAGATTAATTGTTGAGTGGAGAAGCCGCGGCAGTCGGACGCTGCGATAGAGGGGGTTTGGGCGGATGCTTGGAGGTTGTATTCATTTCTAGTGCAAAGTCAGGCCATATACGATTGACACCAGGCAGATGTATCTGCCAGAGATGAGTGCCTAACGCGAAAACCACTTAACGCGCTTGAGCTTAATGCCCCAGCAACCTTCAGACCCACGGCACCTGAGTGGGGAAATATTATGTCATCATCTCTCCGCGGAGCTCTACGATATTGAGCCTTTTGCTACTTCAAAGGTCGCCCGAAAAGGGACTTGAATTATTAAAAGCATTAAATTCTCCTACGGTTACAGCATGTTATTACGACAATCATGGGGGAACTATAGCTATTTAATTGGCATATTTGGATCGTGGTCTATCAGTCTACATACTACTTAAAAACAGCTCTTTAGCTCTTAAAAGGTAAATCATATTCACACGAAGTAAAACTCTGGATAATCAAACACCACACAGGCAAAAGAAAGAAAAGAATGAGAGGTCACCTTCGACCAAATTTAGCAAGTCAAGATGAAAAGAAACGAGAAAAATGCCACACTCCACTTCAATCACACCACAGCAAGGACACCAGTCGGGGAGATACAAACAAAGCAAGAACGCTAGAAAGCGGGGAAAGATGAGATGACATGAGCAGGCAATTTGTCTATGACACAGATAATCGAAGTCTCAAAGCAGGGTATCAAAGGCGGTGCGCATGTTGCGAGAGAGCCGGGAGGGAGTGCAGGTTGTTGGTGCAGATACACATGCTTCGATGGAATGGGAGGAGGGATGCCTTGGGTTGTTTATTCATGATACACGGGCGCGAGAAGGGGAAACAGGGGTTGGAGAGATGGAAGACATAGATATGGATCAAACATTGGACATTCAAACGAGGTAATAGAGGGACTGGGGTTGGTCATTAAGGGGTCATCATCACGGAGTGCTCGGCACGCTCCTTCATTCGCATGGCTTGGGCTTCCAGAGAACGGGCCATCAGTTTCGTCACTGCGGTGGGTGTTAGAGAATTGTTCTGGTTTCCGGAAGTTTGGGGGATTGTTGAAACTAACCTGGCCAGACAGCAGCTCGTTCCAAGAGACTGGCTGTCGCAATCAATATTTTACATCCGTATCCTCCTTCCACAAGACTGGGTAGTCGTTGCACAGCACTCAGCGCAGAGATGGAGTTGCCATTTTGGAACTGGCGCTGCATTTTCATCTCAATACTCCCCAGGATCTCCTTGATCTTATCCACCAGCTTGCAATCCTCGTCTTCTAGCAGCATGACTCCAGGTACTTGAGTCAAGTCGACATTGTCGCGGCCTAGGATACCAAGGTAGGGACCGACCCGTTCTTGAACAGTGGTGATCCACTCCGCCAGTACCTGTGCACAATCGAAAGCACACAACGCACACTGGATGGGTAGTTCGCGCGACGAGAATTCGGCAAAGGTGTTACCAAGACGATCCGACATGGAGATGGAATCCGCTGCATAGAACGCTGCTTTGCGCAGATGCTTTTCACGCTTGGATTGGCCGATCTTGTAGATGTTGGCGAGAGTCTGCATGGGCTCTTCTTGCGTCGGTGTCTTGGAGATGGCTAGATCTGATACTCCTAGATCGGCGATGGAGTCTCGTCTTGCATCAACGTGACCCGTAAGAGATGGATCAACAACGTCGTTCATTGCAGCATCTGGGTGCTGGAAAATCTCTGTGCCGCGTGCGAGCTCATCCGCCATACCATTCCAATCGCGTTGCCAGAATGCCTCTTTGCATCGGCCTAGGTTGACGAACAGACGAACATAGGCCAAATCAAGAAGAGGGATGCTGTCTGCAGACAAAGGTCCAGCCCCGAATGGATTCGGTCGCTCTAGGCTGTGGACAGGGTTGCTGGCCCATGCCGCTTGCCATGCCCGTAGAGCGGGCTCGATATGAGATTGCATAGCATCGGTCTCCTGGGCGGTCCATTGTCGGCCCATGTGCCTTTGGCGAGTTTCCCATATATAGTTGTGTAGCGAGTATATGAGTACCAGGCAACCGAAAGTACTTGGGCGGTTTTCAGAATTAGACAGATCGTCGGAGTTGTAGAACAAGTTTGCCGATTGACTCTGCTCTCGTTGGCTGGCAGTCAGAAGAGACGTCAAAGCAGCTGAAAATGACAAAGTCTTCTTCGAGGCTGTTTGACCCCCCATCTGCTTCCACACCTGGGGTGTTTCAGCCGCCCAGATATCCTCGTCACAGGGAAGGTCAAGGCGGATTTCCGAATTTGTGAGTGCAGGTGCATGGTTGTAGGCAGAAACAAGAAAGCTGGAAAGAACAAAGATAGCGTAGAGGGTACGTTTCCGCTCCTCTACAACCTTCCAATTCAGCCAATCTCGGCGCTCTTTCGGTTGACTAAATGACGAAGACATCAAGTTTTCCGAGTCACCAGGAGAATTATTTCCGTTGCTACCAGCAGTGAGATGATCTTGCGGCAGGTTGTTGGGATCCAGGTGATGTGTTAATTCGGCTGCGCGTGCTAGGCTAACCAAGGCAGCACAGTGCGTGCTAGCAATATCTGCCGATGTCTTGTCACCGCAAGTGTGGCCGTATATCACATTCAAGAGCATTGCCTGCACTAACCAAAGCGGGGTGTTGTGTACGGAGCTATCACGGGAGGAGTTTGAACGATTGAGAGCAGCAGACATGTCTGCCTTTCGCCGTTCTTCGAGGTACAACTGGATCATCTTTTTTGCGGCGTCGAAGAGATCCTTGGAGGCGGCAGGTTCGCGTTCGTACAGGGCACCGATAGCTGCCATGGAGAGGATCAAGCAACCCCCGCCTCCAGCGACACCGGTCGAGCTGAGATTGAGGTGTCCGCTTGGCGTGCGCAGGTTGTTCGTGTACTGAGGAGCTTGGAAATTGAGGGTGGGGATATGGAGAAAAGGGATGTGGGGATGGAAGTAGGTGATGTAAGCCGAGATGTAGCGCTGCAAGTCCGAGGTGCTGGGTAGTTGACCGGAGCTGTTGAAGCCAGTCGAGCGGGCGAACAACTCGCGACTGTTTAGAAGTCCACTTGCGGGTTGGGAATACTTGCGATGATTGAAGCCAGTGGGAGTCGACATGCTCGCTAATAGAGCCTGTCGTGTGGAGTCTGTAAATGTATCCGTTGAGATTGGTGAATGTTCATTTCGTAGGGCACTATTCGGGAAAGGAACGTTGAGAGGATTAGGAGATTCTCCGTTTGTTGCCAGAGAGGAAAACATACTCTGCGAATGTCCTCCCATGATGGGCTGGCCGACCGAGGTCATAGATGGAGGTGTAGCATACGTCTCAGAAAACTCAGAAAACGGATTCTGGGTCATTAAAGACTTAGGTGACACTGTCTCCGGGGGGATCCCCAGATCATTCAACGTCGTCGGGGAAAAATCGATCGCGAACTGGTTGGCCGGGTGGTGAGCAGGGAACGGGTTGTGCCAACCGTTAGAGATGGGGATGCGATTCGGACCATCCAACATGGCCTCGCTGATTCCACTCTGGCTACCCGTGCTCATTGCTGATGGTGAGGACTCGTCGATAACCGAGTCGTTACCATTTCCCATAACCACGCCTGCGTCAAACCCATTCATCCAGTCAAAGTGCATCTCTTCATCCATCATGGGATCCGCAGAGGGTGGAAGTCCATTGTGATAGTGACCGAAAGGGGACGAGGGAGAATCGTTGAAGCCTTGCGGGGATCCTGCGAAGTGTAATTGCGCCGGGTTGATGGTGCTACCGTGACCCATCAGCATGCCATCGATTCCCGTATCAAAGCTTCCATACACGGGAGCAGTCCGCAGTCCTCCGGACATGTCCATGGGAAGTCCGGAAGTTTCGATTTTCGAAAGGCTGTTCATCGAAGGGTGTCCAGAACCAAATCCTCTATAGTCCATGCTTGAGCCAACTGAAGAACTAAGGCTGGGATGATATGCGTGGCCCGATTGAGTGGGCGCAGATGATGGATTACCGGCACCGGGTATACCCAAGGCCGCCCCATCAACATGGCTGATGGTGTTGGCTCTCGGGCGCATCGAAGAAGCTGAACTATTGTTGGCGATGGAATTCTTACGAACCCGATTAGCACCGGGGGCGGCGCCGGTGCTCTCACGGCGGCCGTTTCTCGGTCGAGAAGACGGCGTGGTGGTCATGTGTAGCTTCTGCTGGTGTCGCAGGAGCAGATCGCGCCGAGCGAAGCACCGCGCGCAGTCCGGACACTCGAATGGCTTCTCCTTTGTGTGCGAGCGCTCATGGCGCTTGAGGTGCTCCAATCGCGCGAACGAGCGACCGCAGGTGGTGCAGACGTGGGGCCGAGGCTTGTCTGTTTTAGGGGGCGGAATGTTGCCATTGGCACCCGTTTGACCGTTTAGGTCGGTCTGCTTTTTTGAGTCCTTTGGAGCTACCGATATATGGGTAAGAATTGCACACAGGGAATTGTCTCAGCCAAACTCACCAGGCATATTTCCCGGAATTTCGTGGATGCTGGCAAGGTCCACCACTTTTGGGCTATGGTCCCGATCTTGTCCGACCATAGCATCCAATAGCATTCTAGTATTTAGAAACTTCTCACAGACAAGAGCGTTGACTGGTCTCGGAGGTGGGGGGAAGTTGCGACGTGCGGGAAATTGCTAAGGAAGCGAGGTTGCGTCAATCTTATGATTGACCGAAGATCGCTTCTGCACGATATTTGAGCTTTCAAATTTGTACAATGTGCCGCATCAACGACTATTCCATCCAAATGACATCAAGTCAGCATGTGTCTCATATGATGCGTAGAGGGTGCTATCACAACGACCCAAGGTACCGAGGCAAGCTATCGGGAACCTTGCCGTGAGATAGATGAACGGGACGCACCAATAAGAGAAGTGAATTTACAGTCGATCTATCGAAGGATTCGCTGTGTGCCTGGAAGACGGGTTGAATGGGATTCGATTCAGTGCAAGATACGGGGACCTGAGACCAGTATGGGGGGTATGGAAGCCTAGTATTGACGTCTGTTGGGGGGGTCGGACAGATCAGCGAACCGAACTAACATGGATAATGCTTGGACATAAGCGCTTCGGTCAGATTCACTCACATCAGACTAGCAGAGCTAGAGCAGTGACTTTGTATGCTCTAAACTCGGGCATCCATTGAGGGAATTGATCTCGCAACTGGGAGTTTGGATAAGCCGGAGATAACCGATGGAGTGCAGATAGGCAATTGTCGATAAGCAAAGAAACCACGACAACACTGGGGAAGCGAAGTGTGGAAAAAGAAGAGGATGACAGGAGAGGTGAAGTAGTTGGGAAGTTCGAAATTGCCTCCGAAGGAGTATTCAGAGTCGTTCTACAGCAGAGCGAGGTACCTGGGTCAGGGTACTTACATACACCGTTGGTAGTGGCAGTAGTGGATAGAGAGGAACCGGGAAAGTACTGGGGGGACAAGTACTGTGGAGGTACCGGCGATAAGAGGGTCCGAGGGCAAAGGTACACCGAAGGTACATACGAGGCAACTACCCAACCAGGGCTATGCCAGGCCCAGACAACCACGCAGGACGAGCAACAGATGAGCCAGCAGACGGTACCGATACAGAGCGCAGATGGTGGATCCCAGACACACGGGCTGATCGTCTCTGCCAATGATGCCCCCACGATTAACTAGGGTGATACCAAATGCGGCGTAGACCAAATCTTATAGACACGCACGTTCGACTGGATGCCCACCAGTTCCTGACTCTGGTTATCAACGAGACTCATTGGTCCCGTCTCCACGTACTTGCCCCCTCGAGATTAGCGCTGTAACGCCAGATTTCACTAGTATTGTGTCATTTAGGCATTATTTTCCATCCATACATGAAACATTTAGTTTGATGCTATGTGGAATGCCATTGAAGAATGTCTTTTAGAATATTTTTGTTTCAGAAAGGAATTCAGGAATTTGCTTTAGAATTGAATAAATTTTATGATAACTGGTATTTGGGTATTTGTAGTGTATACTGAGGTATTCCGTACTCGTACATTGTAATGAATACGCAGCTGCACTAACCAGATTGTTGCGCAGGACATTATTTTAATATTTTTTTTAATATTATTAATGTTGTTTTTAATTATTTCTGATATTTATATTATTTATGTTATTTAATATTCTCTAAGCTCAGGTGCCCAGGAGTATCGGAGTGGGCCCGAGAGTTACTGAGAATAACAAGCCCATACACGTTCATAATAATGGTAATATAATATATGTACGGAGTACTCCGTTCGGAGTAGTATGATTTCAATATGTGGGCGGCAAGACCTTGTGACAGATTTATCTTCAGTTGTTTTATTTTTTTTATCTTTCAATTTACTCCTTTCCAAGGCTTCCTAGAAAAAGCTACCTAAAGAATGCCGGGGGCGGAGTGTCCGGGTATGATTCAGCGGAAAGATCCGCAAAAGGAAGAGGCCATGCGCCATTTTTGTGGGGGAAGAGCAAAAAAGGGTTCGTGTGGGGGATTTCCCAACCCCAGAACATGAAACGAAATACACGCGGTTCTACAATTGGATGTGCCGGCAAGGGATATCCTCCGGTTCAACATTTATTGCACATGGTCTCAAGTGGCGAGGGTATGTCATTTGAAAGGGAATATGGGGCCTCTTTTTTTTTCCTTTCTTTTTTTGGGGTTCTTGGCTCCCCCAGACTTTTAATTTACTTTCCCCGGAATCTGCCCCTTGAATGTTTTCTAGAATCCCCATCCCGTCGCTGTATGGACTCACTGTGCACGTTGCGCCACGCCGTTTTGAGTTTGGGTAGTACGGAACGAGGCGAGGACACTTCAGCCCATTGGGCATGCAGCCGACCCCCATCTGATCGGTGTCGGATCTGGGGTTATGGTGATCCAGTATTTCAGTGCTGACATAGCCTTGAGCTCCTTCCAATACTAAGTTGGCGTGGATGCAGACAAAGAGGAAAGTGGTCACACGGCAATAAACGCATATTTGTCCTCTTCCCAAAGTCTCTCGTTTTTTTCCGAAGCTCACCATGTCTGGAGTACGTTGTAGGATTGCAGTTCGGTCGCACGGACATCTCCTTTGCAGAATCCCCCCGGACTTGACAATGCACTAGTCAAACTATCACACTAGAGCGAGTCTAAGAAAGCTGCAGGTGACCTCAAGGGTGGTCGGGCGACAAATTAAACAACAGTCCCGTAAACCGCCCTCCCTAGCTTTGATGCAGTGAGCTGTCCCGAAGCTGTGTTGATGCTGGGCTGATCCGGGCTGTTAGGGTGGCACTGGCCAATCCCCTAAGTGGGTTGGTAAAATAAGCTGCAACTCAAGGGGTTGAGTTTCCTTAAGAACATTGGCATACCTAAGGTATCCGGCCTATTCCCAGTAATTCGCGTCCATGCACGTATACGGAGTAGATTAAAATGAACTTTAGCCATATCAATATAACTACCTTGTTGAAACTTGGTCAGCAATATACCCGATATGTCCGACGGCCACAGAGTATAATCCAAGGCCTTAAATGAGCCAGGAGGATTTAGTTCTAGCGAAGACATGTCTCACCTGAAATCTGAAGCATCGTACAACTCAACCTCAAACACAGTTCACCGGTTTTGAACGCAGTCAATACGATGTTACGCAGTCCAGCTATGCCGTTCGTTAATACCTAGCCTAAATAGACGAATTTCAACCTTAAGATACAGCCTTACCCTGACATCCGCCAGCTCATACCAGTCTCCTGATGCAGGCCCAGCATATTGAAGCAGGCATCGTTTTATCGTGAGCTCAAGAATCCAGCAACCCAGGGGCAGACGCCACTGACCCCAATCATGCAATGATACTATACACTTAGGCACTACACTAGACAGTACATCGTATCCCAGTTAACAGGGGCACCCTTGGATGAGCGCTAGCCATACATCGAGCGCCGAGTCCATCAAACGTTATTGCGTAACCGCGCTTCGCGGATGATCTCTGTAGGATATGTGCGACGCATATCAAGTAGCAAGACGGGGTGTGTACGCTTTTCCAAACTAGTCATGTTTTACGCAATAATATTCTAGAGAATAAATTACAGATGAAACACTGGCTCAGGCAATGTCTAGCTATCAAAAGGTCCCCGTAAATTCTCCGAAGCGCCGACATCCTAGCCCTGCGTATTACGGGGGCCTAGTGGCCAGTGCTTGTGGCATCAACGCGGGATGGCGGAATTTACACCCCCTGATCGGACTTTAGGCCGTGCCTTTTTGTTTCTGTTTTTGTCCTTACCGGGTATTACTACCCGTTTGTGTCGTCTATTATCTGTGAAGAATACCCTATATTGTACGTTGTACAGACTAAGATAAGGTATCGTCATTCGCTTAGACATTAACCATCTATATATGTGTGTTGTACTCCGCATGTATCGTAGGTTCCTTTCCCAATTGATCTTGATGTAATCAGATTAGCCTGAAGAATAACCCCGGTGTACCTAGTCGATCATTTGCCTCCTCCGTGACTTCGTTCAATCTCCTGCGGCTCTGAGTTGTCTCACCCCATGCGTCATTATAGGTCCACAGTGAAACCGTTAATACAAATGAAAAGCCGGACCGACTATATTTGTCCATTTGCATGTGCATCTCAATTTATTTAAAAAAAAAGTAACTAGAAGGCACTAAACCAGCCACGTCATTCCAGATCGAGCGGCAAAAAGACGTGGGGTGACAGCACCACTCGGATGATCAGCGCCGGGGGCATCGAGACAACCCAAGGCGTGGATAATAGTAATTGACCAAAAGAATGTCCCCGTCAGAATCAAAGGCGCCAAATGTCGCACACGATCTGGCCAACCACATATTTATTTGAAACATGCAATCACACTTCCAGCAATAATGATCCATAGCAATATAGTGGATAGCGGAAGATACGGTGGAGCTCCCGCAAGCTCCCATGGAGAAATACAAGCGGCAATGAGGTATTCCGTATGTAATACTCCGTACTGTCTATTACCTAGTGCAATTCTCGGCCGTGTGCCTGGATAAAGTAGGCGATAACACGAGATACGGCATGGACTATTATTCCAGATACCATTATTATGACTACTGTGTATATTAGCGATAACAAATAGTGTTTTCCAGCTATCAAAGCAGTCTGTTTATGTAGTATATTGCGCTCCGTACTAACGGTATGTCTCCGGCAAGTACAGAATATCAATGCAACATCGGATGCAGATCGTAACAGCTATTATGCAGTAGTAATAGTCGGGAATGGATTTCCCAGCGTATGGACAGGCGCTCAAGCTCGCAGCCTGACTGGATGGCCTGAGTCCCTGCGTGAATGATCAAAGTTTAGTGTGGGTATAAGGCCGGATCATACTGCCAATGGTACAGGCATCAGTGTGTTCGGGCCTACCCAGGAACAGTGCTTTCTCATCAAGGAAATGAGAAGCATTTGTGGCGAGTTCTGGAGTTTATTCAACGCTAAGATCAGACATGAAGATGTTTATTTATATTTAGTATGATCCAGTAGGGAGTATAGAGAGTACCTAGTATGATGTATGGAGTACACCGATGTATATCGAATATAACATTATATGGCACGTTAAAGCAAGATAGGATTCAACTGCCTAGACACCCTTGTACTTGAGTCATATGTTCTTTTCAGTACTCCGTACTTCGTACTTTACCATTAAATTACAGATAGGCGGAACAAACCGCTCTTCTCCGATAAGAAAAAAAAAGCCTCGGGAAACTGAACCTGACAAATTGACCGGAGACATTATTTGACCGGAGAACAGCCGAAGTCGCAAATGTTGAGCTATTTTAGCCTGTTTCTGTTTCTGCTCTGCTAAGTTGTAAAACGTGAGAGCGGTTAGATCTGATGTGATTGACGGGGCTGGCTCAGGCATGCATTAGCGGTATTTATTGCAGGCACGATGACGAGAGAGAACTGAATGTGCACTTTTCTGGATTGGATAGGAGCAGACTTGGCCGGTAGATCAGATCGATTGATTTTCTAGCGTGAGGTACCATGCGTGATATGCAGTCAGCTTCGGAGTTACGTATTATACACACTAGTTCTACCTAGGCACTACTTCCAGATATATGGTCACTACCCAAGGTGTCAACATTATAAACAGTATCATACACACATATACTTCTCAACTGACTCCGATGTCTTGAGCCGAGCAACACAAGCACAACAGTCAAAACTGTCTGACATTGAAATGCGCTCAACGGTCTCCATTCGAATTCATGCATGTCATACCTGGAGCGTCAATCCACCCCACTATCTCCATGTTTATTGGCATTCCAATATTCAATATCCAATACAATACAACATAGATGTCCAATATAGCAACATTGAGTGGGTCTTTTCGCATTGACACAAAGAAAAACATCCCACATCGCCACAATAATAATGCACAGCCAGGGTCTTCCAAGCGACCTCTTTCCCAAGACTATAGCGTACATAGGTACTCCGTATACAAGGTACATATTGTACCACTTATCTATTCCGTATTTCCGAAAGTCACCGACTTATTTCCGTCTAAAATCCTTATAAACAAATCCTTATAAACAAAGAGATATAGTCGCAGCTACTCTGTACACACCTTATAACCAACCCAGCTTTAGAGGATCATTGAAGCGACTGGCCCATTCGTCGCACCCGACTCGGCCCCAGCCCAAGTCGCAGCGCCGAAAAGCTACGGAGGACATGGGATATGCACTAGGTCATGTCACATACAATCGGCCGCATATGTATGTGTGTGTACTCCGTACGGAGTATTTAATGGCGCATTGGCGATCTGGCACGGTCCATCCTGGTGATTTTGCTTAGGTGCAGGTTATCCCTGCTAACGCCTTGTACATTTTGATTTTGGTTTTGGTTTTGGTTTTGAATAGGCGAGGATAGTGATTTTACATATTTGGGTAAATCCGTGGAAGTAGTGTTGACAAGCTGTATTTTCCGCCGCACCTGCTCTGCTGATGTTTTGCATTGCAGATTGCCCCTCCCCCCCTCCCCCCTCTAAAAGTGGCGGAATTGCCTGGGTCTAATTCCGCTGTTGACTGTGAAGGTATTATCTAGCCCTGAATATATCAACCTCATTGACGTATATATGCAATGGAAGAGTCGGGGCAGAGTGAAACTACTGCCCAAGATTTCGCCGAAAAGATGTCTATTTACTATGCCAGATATAAAGACCAAATCTTTTTGTTCACCCACCCTAACCATCTGAAGGAAAGGGTCTAACTCCGAGCATAATGATATTGAGGAGCAAAAAATCCACAGAATTCGAATGGTATATGAGCAAGACATGGCACATGAAATTCCCGAGTCAGTCGGAGCGTAGATACATTTTCTTCGTTTAGACACTGATCGTCTTGAAAACACTATAGAACGAAATTGGTTAGCTTGGTCCAAACTCAATATAAAGAATATATCATACCTGAATCCATTGCTGCCGGTCGCCATGAGCGTACCGGGCATCTGTGCCTGCCAGTGGAGTTCCTTAACAGACTCCATATAGTGCACAAACAGCAGTTGCGAAGGAATGTCCGCCATGTTGGCCTGGCGGCTTTCTTCGTCGTCCAGCTCGACAGCAAGATCCCAAAGCGTGACGGTGTTGTCTGCGCAGCCAACAGCCACCACACTGTCGTCTGAGGGGTGCCATTCGATAGTGGTGATGGGCTCCTTGTGGAAGTCGAATGATGCAACGGGGGTAGAGGTGATCTGAGCGGAACGTGCCGCGGCATTGGGCTTCCAGTGACGCAAATCCCAGACTGCCCACTGTCCATCGTCGGCGCCAGTGGCCAAAAGGTGAGCAGTCTGATTAGACCAGCTCATAACGTTCACGTCGGTGTTGGAGACCTGGACGTCCACGGCGGGCTTGCGCGACTTAGATCGCACATCCCAAACCTTAACGCTACCGTCACTGCTAGCGGATGCAAACACATTGCGCTCATTGGGAGACCACTGCAATTCTTCAATTGAGGAAGCGTGGCCTGTGAATGGCCGGGTGTCGGTAACCCAGCCACCACCTTCAGTGCGAGTGGTAGCGTAGATCAATCCGTTATTGTCACCGGTCAACAGCTTTCCAAGAGGCTGGAGGGGAGACCAGTCCAATGCATAACCTTCGGTCTTGTGCATGCGCAGTGTAGAAAGAGGCTTAGATGCCGAAGGGGGAAGAATCGTGCCGGGAACATCGAAGCTGGAAAGGTGGGCGGTAACATCGTGAATGACGACTTGCGAGTTCTCGAGCCAGGTCGCCGTAAGGGTCTGGGGGGGCTTGGAGTAATCACCAGACTGGGAGGGGGTCTGGTGAGTACGGATGCGGTTTGTCGTTGAGCCAAGCGGGATCGACTTGTGCTCGAGAATGGGCTCGCCCATGTCGTCGTCATCCGAGTCGCTGTCGGAGTCCTCGCCTTCCCTCTCCATCTTGCTCAGGCCGCTCATCTTGAGCACCATGAGTTCATTGTCCTTGGATTTCGATCCCTCGGCTTGTGTGCCGGTAACAGCGTAGACAGTAGCGGGGTAGGTCTTGCGGTTATCGCCGAGCGAATCGCGCACAATATCGAAGGAAAGACATGGCCATGGTGTGCTGAGTGTGTGGAGCATATCGTAGGTGGAGGGATCGGGCGATAGTGTCTCTCCGGGGGCCAATTTTGTTCGTCCAGGAATGAAAGTCTCCTTGTCGACATCCATAGCTTCTATAAGATTTGAACACGGTCAGTTCAGTAGGACAGATTTAGAGATTGTATAAAGAATGAGTACCCTTCTCTTCTTCCTCACGCTCAGCATCTGGTCGACCATCCACTCCGGCCTCTAGAATCTCATCTTCACTCTCGAATTCATCCTCGAACTCGTCTTCGAACTCCCCCGCCTCGTTCATTGGGGCATCTGCAATTGGCCGCTCGCCAGCCTTGAGGGCGGCGGTATTCTCGTCCGCTTCAGCACTTCTCTTGGACATCTTGAAATCCTTGAAAAAGTGTTAATTATAAGAGTGTCGAGACCGAGAGGGGGATGTGCGATAAGAACTTTTTTTTTTCGTAAATTTTGGCAACAGCGTGGGAGAGGCGCTAAGCCTATCGCGGACTAGCGTCAGATCCCAATTGCCCGCCTTTGAGCTGAAGGTACCGGAGAGAGTCCTGACGTTCTTATTTATGTGCCTGGGCCCTGCTGTTTCGAAGGAATTACATACTTGACATTCATTTCCAGCCTGCTTCTTGCATTTATTTGCTTCGCTTCGGTTTCTTCGTCGCCCTCCCCCTCAATTCGGTCTGTTTACTCAGGGACCACCCTTGTCCGCTTCAACTCCCGAGAATCAACACAGCTCTCGGCTTCTTCAATTTGCCTACAACAATCCCTTGAGTCAATACATATGCAATCTCGCTAGATTGCGCTGGAATTTCAGCCCTTTGTGATACTGGTTAGCCACCTCCTGAAATCCTTCATCCAACACGTATGTGCTGACAATTAGGAATTATTCAACAGATTGCATCTCTGAATTCTACAATACCGATCCTGAAACACCATGGATTTCTTTAAGCGTAATTCGGGGCCTCTTGTTGCCCCTGAGGTGGAAGCGCCCGCTGTTCCAGTTGTCGCGGAATCTGAGCAGATTGCCCCAGAGGATCAGACGCAACAGGCACAGGAGCAGGCATACGGACAGGGAGAGGAGATTCCGCCCGAGCAGCCTCTGGAGCAATCTCTCGAACAACCTCTGGACCAACCTCTGGAACAGTCTGCACCTGTCATGGTCAATATCGAAGAGCCGGCTTCCGACCACACAATCAGTCGTGCCGCCATCAACAACGGCTATAACAGCGACTCGAAGGCGCATTACCACTCCCGATCGACCGACTTTCATCAATCTGCTCCTGAATATGCCGCACAAGATACCGACCAGTCCCGCCAGAACTCATCTCCATTGCTCAACCACCACCCTTTACCTGTTCCCAACTCCAGGCCCGGGTCAGGACTCTCCAGTGGTCCAGAACGCGCCCCCGGTGTTTCCCAGTTGCAACAACAGGATTCCAGCCAGCGCCAAGCCTCCCAGGCCAACAAGAACAGCGTGGTGATTAAAGTTGGTATGGTAGGCGATGCGCAGATCGGAAAGACTAGTTTGATGGTCAAGTACGTCGAGGGCAGCTGGGATGAGGATTACATCCAGACATTGGGTAAGTTGAGTGTTTGTCCGTTCAGTAGTTTTTCTCTTGCTAACTGAGGCCTTATCTAGGTGTCAACTTTATGGAAAAGACAATCTCGATTCGTAACACTGAAATCACCTTCTCGATTTGGGATCTCGGTGGCCAGCGCGAGTTTGTTAACATGCTACCGCTTGTCTGTAATGACGCCGTTGCAATTCTTTTCATGTTTGATCTCACTCGCAAGAGTACATTGAACTCAATTAAGGAGTGGTACCGCCAGGGACGTGGCTTCAATAAGACAGCCATTCCTTTCCTGGTGGGCACCAAATATGATCACTTTGTGAACTTCCCCCGTGAGGATCAGGAGGAAATCTCCATTCAGGTACTTGGTTATCCTCGTCTATACCCCCACATCGACTAACATATTTGCAGGCCAAGCGATTTGCTAAGGCAATGAAGGCTAGTCTGATATTTAGCAGCACCAGCCACAGCATCAATGTGCAAAAGGTACGTTGCAGCTGTTCATACCTTATTCCTTGATCTGTTTTAAGTCTGATAGGACACACGCTGATCCACTGCAGATATTCAAGATTGTTTTAGCCAAGGCATTCGATCTAAAGTGTACCATTCCGGAGATCGAGAATGTTGGCGAGCCTCTGCTCCTCTACAAGAATGTCTAAGAATTGCCCGTTTTCCCTGACGATGATGTACATTGGGACGAAGTGACGCTGCTGATGATCGACGCTGGCCCTCTACCCTCACGGCTTTACCACTTTGTGAATTTCCCTTTCCTTTCTCCAACGATGTACTTGACCTTTCTTATGTCTGTATCACAGCCTCGGGCTCTTCTAGACAGGTTGCATGTCATCAGTCGGAGATCTCGAGTGTTGTTATTTTTTAACTGCTACCCTTCTCCTTGTCATTTTCTTTGGTTGATTCATCTCTGAACGTACCTAGTGTTACTTTTTTTTGTGTTCCAGATGAGGGCTTCACCGGCTTTAAGGCGTTTGGGAGTCCGAATCGTGATATTCTGGAAATACATTAAACCCTCTTCTGTTTGCAATTCTTCCGGTGCTTATATTGTAGATGTATATGTTGTGTACTCGGTACCTCGAAGTTCCAAATATAGATCTTGGACCCATGGGTACTCCGTATATGGCCCAGGGCTGACCCCTCTTTAGTTGAGCCTCCTATTGTTGTTTTTAAACCCTTTCCTTCTTTCTTCTACGTTGGCCCTTGTCCGTCTTTCTCGGTATTCCGGTAGCTGGAATCAGTTATCGGTAATAATTCATATTTGCGATTATCCTGGGTGTTTCAAAAAGCCCAACAAGGCTACTTTCGCCCCCGCCAAGCCAAGGACGTGGTGCCTAAGCTCGAGCTGTCTAATCCCTCTAGTTGTAGACACGTCTCGACTTTTCCTCAATATAGGCTCAGGCATCATGGCCGAAGATCCTCAGTTGAATTCCATCCAGCAACGGATCGCCGCCCTTAACCAGTCGCAACTTGCCCGCCCACCGGGAGGCCCTGGACCATCATTCCGCCCGACCCCCGAACGGAGCGCGTCAGCCAACAACCCTCCCTCATACGATGCAGTCGGCTCTGTTGTGGATCGATCATCTGTCGGAAATGAACCCGCGGACGACAAAACCCAGAGGCCGGTCCTGCGACCGCCTCCAATGGAAACTCTCCGTCCTCAAGTGAAACCAAAGCCAAAAGCCCCTCCGCCATTGCCCACGCGAAAATCAGATCGCCTGCCTCCCCCCACACCAGCTCGTCCTGCGCTACCACCACGTCGACCGACAGATCAAAAGCGCCGACCCTCCCTTGAGTCGGTCACTTCCGATGTGTCATATTCGACAACGTCAACAGCTACAACTGCGGGCCGAGGCGCATCGACAACTTCGTTGAACTCCACTGGGAACAATCGCATCAAGGCCCCCGCATGGGGTGAGACAGAACTGCCTAAGCTGCCTCCTCGCCGACCAAAGGAGCAAGCTAGCTTGGAACCGCCCCCGCGGCCTACGATTAGTAGTAAGAGGAGCTTTGGGAGCCTGTCTGCCCGATTCACCTCCAAACTGCCGGGGCACAAACCGTCTGTTCCACCGCCTGTTCCCTCTCTTCCAGGCCGTCCTGAACGGCCGAGTCAACCTCCTCGTCCAACACAGCCTCCACGCCCTACTTCATCTCCACATCCTAGCCGGCCACCCCCACGCTATGAGGCTGAAGAGGAACCCCCGGTGCCTCGACTGCCACCGCGCCGACCATCTGGGGTGCATGCAGATACAAACGGAGCCGGTGATGACTTGAGTGTCAATCTACCGATTCGGAAGACATTACCTCCTCCGCCGACGGCTGCACAAATAAAGGACGCTAGGGAGTTCGGCTTTGGTAATGCAAGTTCAACATCTCCACCCAAACCACCACCGATTCCACATGGCTCTCGTCCAGATCTGTCCAAAATTCTGGCTACAAAGCCACGCTTCAATGGTTCAGCTGTGTCTCCAAGCCCTCCAGCCCCCATATCAGACACGGAATGCTTGGTATGTCGGGACTTCTCGGGCCCTGATAACCATGCAGCCCAGTATCCTCGTGAATCGCTTCCCACGCAGGATATGAAGTGGCTGGCCAATGAGTTAACAGCACCGTTCCCATCCATGACAGACAAGGCTCGTGCCATATTTACGTGGTTGCATCATAACATCTACTACGATACATATGCCTTCTTTAACAACTGCGTGAAACCCTCCACGCCAGCCAGTACTCTGGCATCTGGAATGGCAGTCTGCGAAGGCTACGCAGGACTATTTGCAGCATTAGCCACCCACGCCGGACTAGAGGCGGTAGTAGTCGGCGGTCACGGTAAAGGCTTCGGACACGAAGCTCTTGCTCCAGGAGTCTCGGTACCCCCATACGCAGGCAACCACGCCTGGAACGCTGTCAAAATCGACGGAGGCCGATGGAAACTAATCGACGCCTGCTGGGGCGCAGGAGCCATAGAAGGTGCCGGGCAGCCATACAAGCAGCGATTCGAACCAGCGATGTTCTCGATCCCGAACGAAGAGTTCGGCCTAAAGCACTTCCCAGAAAACAAACGCCAATTCTTCCGCGAGGACGGACGTCCCGATCTAACCTGGGAAGAGTACATCCTCACAGACCCGGAACGACCAAACGGCGTCGAAGGCCTGAAGGTCTACAGCGATGCTGACACGCGCACCATCGGCCGCAAGACCTTCCACCCACAAGGACTGCACATCTCCATCAGCACGCCGGGCGCAATGCGTTTCCAGTTCGGTCTCCTCTGTCCACACTGGACACTCGCTCGCCACAGCCACATCCAGCATGCGGGCTTGTTCTTGCTTATGATCCATGGCGTGGACGGACGCGAGGACGACAGACTACCCTTCACACACGTATCAGGCTCCGGACCCGCGGGCGGTGGCGAGTTCTGGTATGTGGATGTTCCCAGTGCACGTATGCTGGGTGCGCCTGGTCAGAAGCTGCAGTTGGCTGTGTTGACTAGCTTTGGGGATCGGAAGGATGCTAGTAGTGTTACGGCGCAGGAGTTCCAGGAGAAGGTTGGCCGGGTCGGTATGGCTTGGGCTTATGTTGCTGAGTGGGAGCTGGTTAGGTAGATTGATTGTCCATGGCGGGTGCTCTAATATTAATATAAATTTTGTCTTTTGGTGTTCTGGCCCTGTTCGCGGGGTGTGCATATACTCAGGTGCATCATGTTAAATAAATATACCATTTGGCCTCTCTTTACTCACTATCAGTATATGTATGTTCATTAATATTTTTGCAGTTAGCTTGTAGTCTCTTGTTTGATATAGTGGTAACACTGAGAAGCACTACTAGTTACACAACAGGACAGCAGCTAGGAGAACAACCAATGGCTACTGTCACCGTAGGTTCAATAAGATACACGGGTACCTACATGTATGTAAACCTCTGCCTAGGATGGGGCTCATCTATCATATCAGCCAATAGCAATCATACCTTTATATTTGCAGATATATAAATTTCTTTATACTGTTCGTTAGTTGTGAAACATACCGGGAATAATAGTTACTTGATTACAACAAAACGCGCACATATGTTGTACTTTTATACTCAACATTGAATGCTAATTAATAAAGAAAGTTAAGAAAGGGAAATAGTTAATTGTTGTGATGGTGAAACAGCAAATATAGGTTGATAAATTGACAAACTGCATCTAGGCACCCAAGAACCTTAAAACCCCAAACTCAGCCATCAGAAATATCTTAGCATTACCAACTTCTTCAAACATCTCCATTCAGATCTCTGATCAACAACTATGCCTTCCTTGATGGATCTCCCTAAGGAGATCCGTGCCATGATCCTCAAAGAGGTAATCAATGGCCATCGCACCCCACCCATATCTCCATCCAAATCGAACATGATAGAACTTCTGGACATGCCGTACAAAGGGAATGTGGAGCATTCCAGGCTACACCACGAGAAGCGGGATACGCATAGCCAATCGAACAGCCTCTCTCTTCTCCTGACAAGTCGTCAAATCTCAATTGAAACCCAATCGACCCTATGTCGAATGCAGAAAACCACCTACGTCCTTGACATATCAGTTCTCAATGAGCTGGATCTGTTTTCGACTTGGATCTCAGTCCCACAGCTTACAACCCGTCTATCTACGCTCCACGTAGATATACGCCTTTTTGGGCGCATAATCACCAGCGCAGAGGGCCGAGATCAAATGGGCTGTGGTGGTCGCTTGGGGTTCCATTGGCTATTTTACGGCCTGTTGGAACGGTTTTTACGGTATGGACCAGTGGGCGCGAAGAAAGGCCCCTGCGACATTGACTCATTCGGAGACACCTGCTATAAGAACCGTAAGATCTCTGTTGAGAATCTCATCCTCGACTTTCACTCCGCCGAGACGGAGCTACCATATCCCCCCGATGACCTGGGATTCAAGGAGTGGACGAATAAACATTGGGGTGAACGCTGGCCGATCGATGAACCGGAACAGGAAGACAAGTCTTTGGCGTACAAAACGCGTCCAGAGTGGCTCTTGGAGTATTTGAAAGATTCGTTAGAAGATGTTACTGCTATGGGCTACCACACTTCACAATATGGGGCATTTATCTACAAAAGAATCGGTACCATCTCCATGCTGGTGGATGGAAAGCTGGAGACTACGTTTGATCTTGCGGGTAGATTGGCCGGGTTCCACTTTGATAGGCCCGGTGATACAATGGGGCATCTGTCATCGGAAATTCGGTTGGCTGAGTTTTGGAAGTGGAAGAAAGCGACACTCCTAAAGAGGGAAGCTCTTGGATTTCCTGTTGTATGGCCACAGAACCTAGATATATAGTTCCAGGTTGGGTGGATGAAGGGCACTTGGTGCCTTTTGACGTCGATGGAAGAGACTGGAATGATGATGTGAATTTGAGATTCTTTCAACCTGCCATGATAAAAATAGAAGCGTAGTTCCCGAGGTCTCTAACATAACATTACAAGTCAGTTGATCAAGGTAGGAAGGAGCTACCTGCCCTATACCTGAAGAGCTCATTAACTTTTCCTTCACGTGCTCTAACTCGCAAGCCAAGTCTATTTAAGCCAATTAACTCATGGTCTCCCCTTCTAAGAATTATTCATCTGCATCTCTCCCCTCATTAATCAACATGTCTGCCCCAACCCATCCCATGAATGGCATTGGGAATCAATCCATTTCCCTCGTCTCGGGAAACGGCATTCCAATACCCACCAACTTCACATAGGAGGCCAAGCCATTCCTCCCCTCGAAAATCCCTTTTATACAATCATCACTCGCCTAAAATTGCCAACGGGCACAATATGCAACCGCCATACAGCTATCATTCGATGAACCCGTTAGCTATGTGCGTCAAAACCGTGGCTCGATCTCATGATTGTACGGAGAAATCGAACTCTCGGGCAAGGTCCCGACGTTCCTCCCGCCTATGTGGAGGTGCCGACTGAATTCAGGAAGCCCCATACCATCGTGGCGATTGCTCGATGTAAACAGAGGGCCAGCAAGCAAAGAAGACAAAGTTGATCATCTCGGTAAGTACCCCACACACCTATCTGCATGAGACAGAATAAGCCCTTATTCAATCTGACGTCTGACTTCTCCTTAGATTGGCGTTCGTAAAGACCAAAAGAAAACGCCCCAGTTCCCGCTTCAAGCTGCAAAAAATTCTTTCTTCAGCGGAGCTTTAAAGAGGAACAAGTTAGCTGGAGGGATCTTGCTCGGATATTTCGCTGTTTAGCGGGTATGGTCCACTAGAGCTGTCTTCGATGGTCTCCCGACCTTCTTTGGTCAAGCTGGAGGACTTGATCTGACGGGGTTGACCCGCTTTCAAATTTTACGATGGTCTCTCAATCTTGGATGACAGACGTTGGGTTGTATCGGTGATTTTTACTTGGGGCTCAAATGGTAGATACCCCGGATTATGTGTGCCCAGAGTCCTGGGCACATCGATCGAGTTATTTGCAACTTGGCAACAAGGCTGAAAGAGAAGAACGCCAGTTAGATCGCTTCAATTAATAGACATAATTTAGTTTGAAACAGTTTACTCCGTACTCCGTACTATGTAAAGTTTTGTCCGAAAAGTGTTACCTAGCGCCGTGAACCTAATTTTGGAAGTAGCCCCTACCCTATTACAACCAAGTACAGAGGATAGAGTACTCCGTAATCTGTAAAGTAGTCAGTCTTAGATGAGATATAGTAAAAATGCCTCGTACCCGATATCCATGGATACTGCGGATGCCAAATCTCGGCTTTCTCTTTCCGTCTTAGTGCTCACTGCCTGTAATCTCCACATTTACAAAGTAAGCTAACAACTTTCAACCCGCTTGGGCCTTCTCCTAATATTTTTTTTATCTATGAGATTGTGATAGGTTGAGAAATTTGAGAAATGGTCAAAAATATACGGAGTAAATACTGAGGGTTATCAAGTTTATCTGTTTATCGTGTTTGCCTTGTTTGCCTTGTTTGTTTTGTTTGTCCTCTGAAGGTTTGTTCTCCGATGATCGTGGGATCATCACTTACCCTTCAGGGTAATCCCGCACGTGTACACTCTTTCGCCAAGAAGAGCCAGGCAGCGTTTTAAGTATGAACCCGTAAGATTGCCGAAGGGTGCCCCGCCTTATGGACCCCTGGATTTTCCATTTTCCAATATAATCTCTCTCTCCCTTATCGGCTTCTGTCTTCAATTCCCCCGTCTTCCCTTTGGAGGGTGTTGCTGGCACCATGAAGTCTCCATTGCATCACCAAGGAGATCTCTCCCTCCGCAGGCAGCTTGAGGATTCAGCCCTGTTCGCCGTCAAAGTCGCTAGATCCCCTCAGCTCTACCTGGATGCTTCTCGCACATATTTCTTCTCCATCACTTTCATTTCCCTCATACTGTCCAAATGCTTCCATCTCTGCGTCCATCTCACGTCGCTTGCGGTTCCATCACTCCTCCCGTGGGGCCCTACCTTCTTCCTGGTGGACATACTGCTTATTCTGGTCGCGTGCTACCTGGCCCGTCCGTTTGAATCGCGGATCGGTCAAAATGTAGCTGCCGTTGTAACTCTTTTATTCAGGTGGGCTGTCGTCCAGACTCAGAGAGAAACATAAATCGCTAATCGCAGCCTAGTCTATATATTTCGTCGATGACCGCTGCCAACATCTCCTTTTACGTCCACAAAGGCGAGGAGATTGCCTGGCGCAAATCGAGCAGCTCTCACAAGGACAATGCCAATACCGCTACCCAGACTATTCTGTCCATGGTGGCTGTCGCCATTCTGGTTGACACGTTGGTTATGATCGGCGCGTACTTCGCTACGCCGTGTTTGTTCCAGGTGACCGACAGTTTCCTGGAGATTTGGGGTTCGCTTTTCCTATTCCCTTTCCGCCGATGTGTTCGCCGGAAAGTGCCGGCAGATCCGGAGACCTATCAGCAGATTGAAATTGAAGACTATGACGAGGGTCACAACGACAACGACTCCGTATCGCAGTTGGATACACCTGAAAATGCACCCGTGCAGAATAAGAGCCGGTCGTTGCTGAAGCGCGTGATCGCCATATCGTGCGGCTTAATCCTAGTTTTGCTCAGTGTCATTCGTCCACGCGGCGCGGATTACAGCTTTCTCTCTAAGTCTCTGTCCCTCGCGCCGTTCGGCAGCCACAAATACTCGCCCGCCCATGAACGTCCCACGTCAGCGAATGGAAGTGCTACTCCTGAAAGTACCCCCAAAAGTGCTCCATCAAGTGTCCCGTCAAGCGCACCGCCAAGTGCTCCAGAAAATGCCCCCTCGAGTGCCGCCGATGGAAATAACACCTCGCTACCGGCCGATTTCAGCTGGTTGGACGGCCACACCGCTTTGGACTCTTTTCCCACATTTGACTGGTTACCTTCGTACAATTCGTCGGATGGCTTCCCGGATTGGTCTCCCTTCCGTATCAATAAGCACGATAAGTCTGACTATGTGTATGAACACTACAACCCGATGAAAGACCCTCTGCACACACCAAACCTCCAGAACGATATTTTGGAGCCTTTACGCGATCTTCTCCACAGCGGAAGCGTGAAGATTAAGCATGTCATTCTCATCAAGCTCGAGAGCACTCGACAGGACGTGTGGCCCTTCCGCTCAAACTCTTACATCATGAAGCACATCAATGATTCTTACCCGGCTGGTATCCCCGAGAAGGTCCAAGATAGGCTCTCTAATCTCACCCCCACCGCCGAGCGTTTAACCGGATTTGATACCGGGTTCCATAAGGACGGGGATGATCATCCGAAGCCCTATGGTGGCATCAGTGCGAGGAACGCTTACACGTCCGGGACCTATACCCTGAAGAGTATTACTGGCACTGTGTGCGGAGTGAATCCTATGGCCGTTGAGGCTAACCTCGAGTACCTGCACGATATTTACCAGCCTTGTTTGCCGCATATACTAGATACAATAAACCACCAGCCAGACACCAAGAGTCAGGCAGATGACTGGACTTCCTGGCCGTGGCACACTATGTGGATGCAGTCACACCCTGACGACTGGGATAAGCATTACATGCTTCATCCTGCTCTAGGATACAAAGATATCATGGCAAAGAGAACGATTGACGCAACTGGTAAAAAATACATCCCGGAAGAGACAACAGAGGAAGAGGAACATGGCCACGAGGATAAACTACTGAAAAATTATCTCCGGGATGTCATTGATGATGCCAAGAAGAACAACACTCGCCTCTTCCTCAGCCATCTAACACATAATACACACACCCCGTATTATAAACCTGGTGATTATAACGAGATGATGGGGGATGTGTCGACCGAACAGAACGAGAGGTTGAACCGATACCTAAATACCATTGCCTACCAGGACGAGTGGATAGCCGATATCCTAAAGCTTCTTGATGATGCCGGTATTGCCGATGAGACCCTTCTTGTGATGACCGGTGACCAGTAAGTTATGCCAATATCTAGCAGCTCTCCCAGCCTCTAACTTAATCTAGCGGTCTTTCACTTCCAAATGACGGGGGTATAACCGCCTGGCATTCCCCTCACGTCGGCAATTTCCACGTGCCGCTATTCTTCTCGCATCCCAAGCTGCCCCAGCTTGAAGTTAATGATGCTGTCCTATCCACCCAAATTCTCCCAACAATCCTCGATCTTCTCGTCGAAACCTCCTCTATTGACAAGCAGTCGACTAAGATCATCAAAGATCTGCTCCCTATGTACGAAGGCCAGTCGATGATCCGCGCACTCATCCCTGAGCACAACGGCAAGCAAGAATGGCACTTCTCCACAATGAACCCTGGCGGAACATGGTTCTGCATGCGGGCGGCCGCACAGCCATACCGTTTGGTCGTGCCTCTCAAACCCGACGCTAAGTGGCGATTCACCGATGTCGTCGCCGATCCATTCGAGCTGAACCCTCAGGAGGATCTCCAACTCCTGTTCCTGGTCGACGTTGTGCGGAAGGAGCATGGACCCGAGGCCGTGAAGTGGCTCAGCGAGGCGGCCCATGTCGCTAAGTGGTGGGTTGGGGAGAACCACCGCCGCTGGCAATATGATCCTAAGAACCCGGAGAACAATTGAAGTCCTACCGGATAGAGGTGGCACCGTGTTCTCTGATAGCAGCGTCTGTCGAGGTTGAGCCGTGTGTCCCATGGGTATATGATGTTGTATTCGTGTGCATAATGAGGTCGGGAAGGGTGCTTTGTATATTAATTTCCGGGCTGTTGATAGTGCCCGAGGTAGAACTATCGGTGTTTTTCCAGAAATGACTTTCGAACTTACCAAATGATCTACCATAAGCAATCATCTCCATGCACTTTTGAATAACTTCGTAGCTTCTCATGCGATGTTGCTGAAAGACCCTCAATGGGACCTCGGGTTCACAGATGAAGTAGCATGTGATATGAGCAAATCCGGCACAGACCTGGTGGTGGTAGAAGCCATTCTGGGCAAGGTAAAAAAGTACGATGCTAGTTAATAGCTAGGGCCGAGAAGAAACAGCTCGAGTTGGGATGGTTGAATCAGTGGTCGAGATGCGGAAAAGAGCATCCACGTTGAGGAGTGGGGATGGGGATAGAGGTAACGAAGGAACTCAAAGTAATGGCGAGAGGTTCCAAGGTTTCTTCCATCCAACACCAGTGCTATATGTAAAAGGAAAGATGAGGATTTTGTGGAATTTGATCGGCACGCCAATGAGACAGAAGGAAAGCCGCAAGGTCAATATAAAACCCGACCCTGTTTTCAGTCGAACCTTCCGATGTTTTCCCGTGTCGTTTTATCTATAGAGCGATACTCTGTACGTTGTCTCGTTTAAGGTTAAGTTCGTTGTGCACCCGTTGTACAATTGCTATTTCAACTAGCCAGCTCGAGTATTCTAGAAAAGTAATAAAAACAAAGACTTGGGTCTCAACATTGGACACCATTCCTCTTTGGGAAGAGCCTCTGAATTGGTCGGTGGATGACGAACGTTTAGAGGAGTGGGCTTTATGTCCGAGCCCCGAGCCCGGACCCGGGCCCGAGTTCGAGAGCACCTCACTTCAGCAGCTTGCCGACCCCGAGCTTTCCCTCCGACCTTTCCAACATTATTGATGTCCGTTGACCGCGCATTAAATACCTGCAATTTGGACTGTCATCAAGATGGCCGAGGACCAGAGCTTTGGCAGTACCCGGTCAGCACCTTCACTCGCTCGTCGGAACCGCCGAACTGTGCAATCCTGCGACCCGTGCCGCCGCCGAAAGGTACGTTGCGATCTCAAATCGCCATGTTCAGCCTGTCAAGTCTCCAGAAACTTGGTGACGTGCACATATCAAGGAGATCAGCAGCAACCTAGTCTCGCCCTGGAAGACCGTGGAAGCGAGGACAATAATGCCCAACAACAAGTTCCTCGCTCGCTTAGCATTGCCCCAAACAACAACATCGAGCACCCTGCAAAGAGGCAACGAAAAACTAATGAATCGGAACAAATTCGGAGCGTAGAGCGACGTGTACAGCAGCTTGAGCACTCGGTTGTACAAGAAGTCCATCCCCAGCAGCACAGCCTCAGCAGCAGCAACAGCAACAGCAACAGCAACAATCATCCCACGCTGCTGGCATTGTCTGATCGCCTCCAACATGTCGAGCAGCGGCTTGCTGAACTCTCCCAAGCTCGTCCTGCGCCTTCAGCTGTCACGGGCGATAAGTCTCTAACAATTCCGTCTGTCATCCCTCGACTTCGTCACAACCCGAAGAAGGTAAAACTGTTTCCTTCAAGCCACTGGCTGCACAATGCTGAGAAGGTATCGTCGAAGCTCCTTTCTAATGAGCACATTGACTGATTGAACATTGACTGATGTGTCAATAGTTCAGAGTCAGCCATGTTGGAGACAGTGACGTTGAATTGACCTTCGTGGATACCAAGGCCGAGCTGGCCGATTCGGTGAATGAGATACGCAACTTACGACTCATGATGAAAAATGAGCAGGCACCGCAGATGGATGACCCCGTTCCTCAACTTCTGAGTACAATGCCGGCTCGTTCCATCTGTGACCGACTAGTGAATCACTACATGCGGACTTTCGAGTTGATCTATCGTTGTTTTCACATTCCCACATTCTGGGCAGAATACGAACAATACTTCAGTCAGCCGCAGCCTGTAGTTACAAACTTTCCAATCAAGTTGGGTTTGGTGTTGGCCATTGGAAGCGTCTTCAGCAACGACAACGACAAAGTTCTACAGCGCTCGCGGCGTACTTGGATACAAGCTGCTCAATACTGGATGGTTGGACCGTCAGAGAAAACTACTAACAATCTTGATGGAATTCAAATTTTCTGTCTTCTATTGGTTTCGCGGCAGATAACATTAGCCGGCCGTTCACCGTGGCTGTCGGAAAGTGGTCTACTTCGGGCGGCTATGGCTATGGGCCTGCACCGAGATCCACAACTGTTTTCTCTGTCTCCTTTTCAAGCCGGGATACGAAGGAGGCTTTGGACAACAGTCCTAGAGCTCGTAATCCACGGTTCCATGGACTCTTCCATCCCTTTGCTTCTTTCTTCAAACGACTTTGACGATCATGTGCCTCTTAATGTCAGCGATGCTGATTTAGATTCAGCCAGCAAAGAGTCTTCATCTCCACAACCGTTGACAAGCTATACGGAATCGTCGATACAAATTCTCATGCGTCAGTCCCTGCCGATACGACTTGAAGTTGTCAGGGCGGTCCAAAACGAGCGATTAGAGCACTCATACGAAATGGCCATTGAGCTAGCTACGAAACTTCAAACATTTTGCCGTACTCTTGCAAGCTATTGTCGATCGCATTGGTCGCAATTCCTAAGCATGCATCACGCTTTCCTTGATATGCAGATTCGTCGATATATTCTGGTTCTGCATCGGCCTTTCATGCTACAAGCGCAAAAGGATCCCCGCTTCTATTTTTCCCGGAGGGTTTGTCAGGAGTCTGCAATGATTATCGCCACTTATGCCGAGCGACTTCGGCTACCTGCAGACCCCCTTGACGATCTGTCCAAGTTGATGGTGATGAGCACAGGGTCATTTCGCGGACCTTTGAGCCTGGATGTAATTTCAGTCTTGGGCTTGGAGGTTGTGTCTCAGCTGGAGGAAACGGGTTCCGGTCCGTCGTCTGCTTCGGTTGGTCTCAACCACACATTGGTCCTTGATCCTCTCGCTGAACTGGCGCGCGGCCAGCGAGCGCCCATTATTGGACTTTTGGAACACATCAACGAACAATTACTGCAGATCGTAAAGTTGGGCCATCCTACGTTGAAACGCTACATCTTTCTTGCTGGCATTCTTTCCCAGATAAACGCCATGGAACGCGGCCAACCCATTTTGTCTGCTGTGCTGAACACTGCAAAAGACAGCCTGAAGGAGTGTTACGATATACTACAGGCCTACAGGGCCGCCAACACTCCCCGAGAAGTGTCGCAAGACGTGATCGATAATGAGCTTCTTGACGGCCTGGATTTTGGCGCAATGGTAAGTACAAATTACCAAATATGCGCCTCTTACATAGCACTACTGACTGAAGTCAGGACCCCAAGTACCTGGACTTTTCGGCCTTTTTGGTTCCAACTGTTTGATAGAGCAAGTTCACAGGACGATTTACGTCTCGAAATGAAGATCGTGATTAATTGAGGTTAATTCTTTCCATTCCGTTCTATTTTCGATCGTCTCTGTCTCGGAAGGGTTTGCTTACAAAGGTAAGGTATGACCTGTTTCTTGAAACAACACTTGTGATGCATTGTGCACCTTGTCCAGACTATCTGAGCGCCACGCTGAAAATCCATCAGGCCGCACGAGGATAAGACAAGCATCCCAAATTCGGAACGCACGAGTCTCATTCATCAAACAAAGGCTCTTTAAAGGAGTACTGTGCTTGCGTGCTGCTTCTTCAAAACTGGCCAGTGCGATGGACACCTGACATTGGTCTCCGGTTGCTACTGCTTCTTTCTGCAGAAACGCGACCATGGTGAAGCCTTATTTTGCTCCAGTGTTGCATCAGCGCTGCCACGGGACGACGTTCCTGTTCGTATGTCTTCATCAAGTGAGTGCCACCCCAGTCTTGAACAGTGGCTGCGAGCTCCAGCCAAGATCCCAAGCATCAGCAAGGCCCATATGCCAAGGTTGGTCGTCGGCGACGGCTGGACATGACTGATACAGAGATTGATCCAAATATAAGACTAAATTCTCTGTATTTATATAGAAGGGATTCTGCCATACCGCCGTAAGATCCTGTTCATATCACGCGTGTGTCTATTTATGTTTCTCTGCCTCCACGCCAGTCTCCTCCTCTTCACCAGATGTTGTAGTTGCAGCAGGCTGCTGCGCTCAGTGCCCTTGCCTAGGCATCAAGCTTTTGTGAGGGCATTCCAACCAGAAACTCTACCCCTCAGCCACACTAAAAGGATTGTCGCGACCATGAAGTTCATGCCACTGAACAAGGCTGCAAAGCGGAAAGAGCCTCCATCTGTCCCTGCAATTGCACCAGCAATCGGAGGGCTCGTAAGGGCACCAATGCCTGCGATAGCAAGAGCCAACCCGATTCGAAACCCGATCTCCTGAGGTGGGTAGAGAGTCATCACAAGGGGCGGTGTCAAGCCAATGGTGGTGCCAGATCCGATACCAAACAAAGCGGCGAAGACAATGTTGGCCGCGTTGCTGCGACCAGGCAACCACAAGGCCAGAGTGATGACACCAGTGAAAAGTAGCATGATGATAAGCACATTGAAACGGCCGTACTTGTCGGCAAGGCCATTGGGAATCGTACGTCCAAAAAAGCTCGCTCCGTTCATGATGGGAATCAGATTGTAGGCCATAGTCATTGACATTCCGTTATGCATAGCAGACAGGACAAGGTAGTCGAAAGGAACAAACAATGCCCCTAAACTCTGGTTAGCTGTGTTACGATGAAACATAGTGATAGGCGGCTCACAGTAAAGGAAAAAGCAGAACGCCAACAAGATCAAGAAGTTGAATTCCGTGAAAGGCCGAAGGTAGTTCGCAAGGTTGAGCTCCTTGCGAGTGTGAGGCAAGTTGGAGGAGATGGTGAGCATGGCAATAGCCCAGAGCCCAAGGATCAGG